AAAAAAAAATTGGGAAATCTATTCCTATACGACCGTTTTCACAAATTCGCTCATTGCAGGGGATGGGGGCATCATGTTATTTCTGTTAGGGCTGGGGTATCGTTCACCTTCTTTGACAGCTACATCACTTCCACCTTTTCACAACAATTTACTTACCTAGCTCTCAGCCCCTTACCCCACTCCCTTACTGCTTGATTGAAAATCGCAACAAGGCCACGTCAATACATAACGCGGTAAACGCATTCATAGTCTTACTCGTTACGGATGAAGGGGCGTGTCAGGCCGGATACGTTTGCCGCGGCGCCAAACGCAACCCGCCTGACCCCCCCCCCCTGCAAACGAGACCATAAATTACAAATAACGCCACTAATTGACGAAAAAGACTAGACGGAAATGGATAGCTAGCCCCATTCTTTGTGAGTTTTGGCAGAATCGGAAAACTGCGGAATTAGAGGAATCCGAAAAAGGATAAGGCACGAACTGGTTGTGACGAGACATTCCCCCTCCCCTACCCCCCCCCCTCTCCCAAAAGAAGAATCAGAACCTGAATTTAAAAAATCGGGAAATCCATTTGTACCCTTTTCACAAATTCACTCATTCCGCGACTCACTGGGTATAAACTAGGCCTCGTCCCAACAAAGAATCATACAGTGACCCCCCCCCCCCCCAGAAACAATGCACCAAAACAGATTAAACTGAGCCTCACAGTAACACTACAAGTAAATATAAAACTGCTGTTGAAAAGCCTACTAGTAAAAAACGCTGAGCAAAGTGCAACTGTCGAAACATTCCCACATAAGCAAAACAAAGATTTTCGAGAAATGTTTGAATGGACCTTACCTTATTAGCACCCCTGCTGAGTAGAAGCTCCACCACATCTTTCCGACCACCAGAACAAGCAAGTGATAATGCTGTGTCCTTGGTACGCTCAGACTGTGCTTCAATTTGGGCTCCATTGTTGAGAAGCAATTCCACAACATCTCGATGTCCACCCGTAGCCGCCAATATCAGCGGAGTGAAGCCCTTCAAGCATGAGGAATTAAAAACGGGAATGTAAGAAATCGATCAAGGTAAGGTAACCTTCTTATCCCGGTGCTCTATATTTGCACACCACGACAAACAAGGACATCAACCATTTGTGGCATGGACCATTAGAACAGGCAAAGGTCGTTAGCGGTGTATCGTTATTGGATTCAGTTGCCTTATCCACATTAAACGCAGCTCGTTGACTAGCGGTTGCCCTGAAGAGGTGGAGATGACCGGAACGAAAACAATTAGCAGGCATCACGAAAGCATACCTAGTGATATCGAGGTCATCCCCTTCGCTGTGAGCACGCCGTAAACTGGCGAAACCCGGCGTTGGAGGTGTCGCTGCAGCAGGAACTGCAGTTGGTGGCATATCAGGGGTGGGAACCAAACCTGGCGCCACGGGCGGAGCAGGCGGTATTGGCACCTGTGATGCACGTCAAGCCACAAAACCGCCACCCGTAGCACCGACTGCGCGACAGAAGGAAGTGCTCGGCGGAGTATCTGCAATAATACGTATTTCGTTCCTTAGTAAAGGTGGTCCATTCGGTACTAGTAAGAGAGCTGCGTTCACGACATTGCGGGCCTGCGTTTTGGGCTTTCCAGCGTCACATTTGTGAAGCAATCCGTCAGCATTTTGAAGCGGCGACCAAGAGATCATATTATGATTATCGCTAAAAACGCTGGCAGGCGGGTCATGACGCTGGCGAAAGCTCAAAAGGGCGGACGCTCATAACGCTGGCAGACGCCGCTCGAAAAGCGCCGCAAAGTATAAACGCACTGTAAGGGGTTCGTTCATACTTCGCATTACAGCAACCTAATTGCGCACTTCCCAAATCGCGAAAATGCGACCGACCGTGCTCCATTGCTAACATTGGACCGCCCCAACTGTAAAGTCAAGCTCACTCAGAAAAGCACTAGCCGCTTTTCATCGATCTTAGCGACAGGGCGCTGATCGCAGTCAAGCTTGCGTCGCGACGTCATGAAGCGTGGTCGCTAAGCAAGATTACGATGCAAGCAATTCTTTGCCATAACTCAATTTGTGATGCGTAAAAATTTTTGGCACCTCTAATACCTACCCCTTACAAAATTCATCATATTTTAAATGAATGTTTTTAAGTTGGGATTACCTAAACTTTGAGCACTGGGCCGTAATTTGACGGGACCCGCTGAATTATCAATGTAAAAAGCTAATCCAACGCCCTAATATATGTCCCTGCAGAACCAAGGCGCTGAACTAGGTTCCAATACCCATGGTTGTAGCATGTTCGCCAAGCATTTCGGAGGTGGGTGTCATAATCGACACACAAGGGATCGAGCTCCTCAAGGGACCTAAAGCTTGGCCGAATCCCTCCATCAGTAGAGAATTTGATCGAAAATTGGTCCCATTTCTCAAAGGGAGTGCAGTAAAGATAATAGTGTCAACCACTCAGCAAGCATTAATCCCGCTGGACCTTTTCGGTATACATCAAATAACACGGCACATAGATCAGAACAAATAACGTTCAGCTTATCACGTGACACTAATCAAATATACTTAAAAAAAACCTACTGTAGAAACCGTCCCTACCAACGGGAACCGTGGATTTTTCTGTCATTCCGGGCGTGCTAGGAGCAGATGTAGACTGAATCGGTAAGCTTGCAGCACGAGGAATAGAGAGATTATCTCGAACGTAGAAATTAGATCCGTAGAAAATGTTTAACATTAAACTCAAAAAGCCCTTAAGCTGAAACTAACCTCCACTCGTTGCAGCATCGAAACGCTGCTGGAGATTATCACACATCCCACTTTGGGCCGCAAATCGTTTACGCATATACTCACTCCACTGTTGAGCATTCTGGAGCATTAAGTAGGAGGTAAACACAGAAAAAGGACAACGCATAATTATTCAGAGAAATCGGTAAGCACATGCTAAGACCTCATTCCGCGACAACTGGTTGGACGGAGAAATGGGCGGAGACCCACAAGAACTTTCTATTTATCAAAGAACATGCAGCGCGCCACGCAGATGCACTAGTAGGAGTGCTTTTGTGCAAACGAGACAATCGCGCTTCTAGAACGAAGGATAACGAAGCGTAACTTACGCTCTGCGATTAAGCACTAGAAACGCGTTTCATTACTGCTTTTCCGCCTTCCCATGAGTCAGTGGCCAGCTACGAACGCATTCATACTTCGCAATCGCTTAAGCGAGTAGATCGCGCGACCACGGCGTTGGGCCTTATACCGATAAGGCAGCGTTCAGACTTCGCGACGGCAGCGCTTCGGTCGCGCGTTTGACGCGATCGATGCGCATGCTTTCGACTGCATCGATCGCGTCGAACGCGCGACCGAAGCGCTGCCGTCGCGAAGTCTGAACGCTGCCTAAGGGACGGCTCCGCGTTCGCACAACGCGAGATCTATGAACGCGGCAAAATCTGAATTATGCCGTTGTGGTGGTCCACAGGTTAGCGGTGGAGCGCCCACGGCACTAGTCGCGTGATCCAAACCATTGGATCGCGAAGTATGAACACGCTGTTATTCGGTGCACTATGTGCTCTTGACGTAAACCCATAAGCATCAGGATTTCTTCACTTGCACACCTTTCCTCTTCACCATGCTGGAAGGAGAACACCAGCGAGGAAGGTCCGGAACGGATGTCTGCTTCCGCCCACTTCACACCCATCCAATTGTCGCAGAATGTGCCTTTAACAACCGCAATACATACCTGCTTTGCTTCGGGTCCCTTGAGCATTTCTTGAAACGACGGCATCGAAACATCAGCAAGTGTTAGTGGATTGGTATTGGTTGTAGAGCCAGGTAACGGTGCTTGAGGGTCGAATGGGTTGACTAATGGCATATTTGGAGGGTACTGCATTAGGAACGGTGACGTCTTCGTGAGCATTTCAAACGCTTCCACACGTGCTTTCATTTCAGCTGCAGACATTGATGATGCGGGCGTGGATGACATAGAACAGCCGCTTCCAGAAGCATTAGGGAAGGCCTGAAATGACAGCTTTCATTAAATTTATCAAACCGGGCACGCTACCGAGTCGTCTCCACTCACCGGTGTAGTCCCATCACCCAAACCAGTGAATAACGAAGCGAACCAGGTTAATGCGGAACTGTTAGAAAAATCTGCAGGTAGTGAAACGTAATGACCAGGCTGAAACAGCTCAGCTCATCCACAGTAACACAGAGAAACCATGTTTACAGAACTAGACTATGGGGATAGGTGTAGTTCAGGACATCTGAACCGCGGCATCGTACATTCATGGCTAGTTGACTTCACTAAGTATTTATTTTGCCGCCAGTTCAACTGGGTTATGGTAGTTTGCGTAGTTTGTTTCTTTCACGAACTAGGCTGCGTTCTAGCATAGCGTAGGTATCGATCTAGCGTTCCAAGCGTACGCCAGGGGTATGAGCGTTTTGCGAGTAGTTTTGAGCTTTTCGTGGGCAGCCGCTGAGAATGCTGGCGTACGTTCAAACGCTGTCATCCGATGGCGTAGGCTAGATCGATACCTATACTTTCTTAGTCGCTCGAAATGCTCAAAACGCTGCCGTACGCTAAGTGTTGACGCGAAGCATAAACAGACTCTTAGGCTGCGTTTATACTTTGCGGCAGCGTAGCGTAGCGCTTCCAGCGTACGCCAGCGGCAGTGCCGGGAGAGGATGCATATCGATCTAGCGTTCCCAGCGTCACCAGCGTACGCTAGCGTACGCCAGCGTTTCTCCAGCGTTTCACCAGCGTTTTGCTAGCGTTTGCAGCGGCAGGGGAGTAGAGACTATGGGAGAGCTGGAGGGTACAAAACACATCGATTGCGCGTCTCTCACTCGCCCTCAGTCTCTACAATACACATCGATTCCGCGTCTCTGACGGCCACATAGTCTCTACAATACACATCGATTCTGCGTCTCTGACGGCCACATAGTCTCTACTATACACATCGATTCCGCGTCTCTGACGGCCACATAGTCTCTACTAATACACAACGATTGCGCGTCTCTTACGGCCACATAGTCTCTACTCCCCTGCCGCTGCAAACGCCAGCAAAACGCTGGTGAAACGCTGGAGAAACGCTGGCGTAACGCTAGCGTACGCTAGCGTTACGCTGGTGACGCTGGGAACGCTAGATCGATATGCATCCTCTCCCCGGCACTGCCGCTGGCGTACGCTGGAAGCGCTACGCTACGCTGCCGCAAAGTATAAACGCAGCCTTACAAACAATGGATCGCTATCTTGTTCTCAACCTTGGAGGATTTCCGCCAGATTACGTTCCTTGATCAGCTTTCACGAATTCTTTGATTCAGACCCTCAAAACTTAGAGCAGCAGAAAGCAACATCAATTACCGAATTCCTCGAGTTAAGGTCGTGAAACAAACGAAGTAGGACGTCGACTGCCATGACTTTAGACAGCATTCACACTCGTCAGCGTTTTGAGTTTTTCGAGCGTAGGGCAGCGTTCCGAGCGACCAGGAAATATAGGTGTTGATTTAGCGCATGCCGGCGTTTGAGCGTTTTTGCGGGCAGCATTGTGCTCTTGACGGACAGTCGCTGAAGACCCTGGCGTACGCTCAAAACGGAAGATTGATACCTATACTTTGCTAGTCGCTCAAACGCTGACCTATAAAGTATGAACGGATCCTTATCGATTTCTTTGAGATAAGGTTGCGATATACAAATGGCACGTGACAGTCACGACCTAGTTGGTTTGAAGCCAACATATCATGTGGAGTCAATAGCTCGCGCGTGATGGTGCGCCTCGAACGTCCTCTAGTGCAGACTAACAAACTAGAAGGGTTTAACGTATATTTCTTC